TGACCTCTTTGTTGTGTCAAAAGTTCTACGAAAAGCCGCAAGAAAACTATTGAAATCATGAACCATAGGTCCATTGGCCTCCCAAATAGGATTTGCCCACTCTAGTGCTTTGTCAGTAAGTTGATGCATCAAAAACCCCACTTTAGACCTATCAGTGGGAAAGGAATGAGGATACATCTCAAGGTGGAATTCTATTTGATTAATAAAACCTCTGCATGTCTTGGCTTCCCCTCCATACCTAGGAGGAGGTGTTAAATGGGGCGAAGCATTGGTTGAATTGGATACTTCGGGAGGATGAGGTGTAGGAGGGTTAGGTGCGGTTGCAGGAATGGTTCTAGACAAGAGCTAAACAAAAGACAACACAGAGGAGAGATACGTCTACCGGACCTTAGAATGGCCGGACTCGACGTATATGAGAGGAGACAGAGTCAGGAACAATCCGAAATCAAGGGCACAGAGAGACAGCGTAAACTAGGACAAGCCGGGGTCTGGTACACAGTAAACAACAAGCCGACAACCAGAACAGATAAGGATAAAGAGAAAACGTAGTCAGAAACAAAGCCAAGGTCAATACGGAGAAACACAACTGAACACAACAAGCGCTAAAGGGAACTGATACAGAAACCACGATAGGGCAAGGAACAAAGGAAAGAAGGTGAGTATAAATACCTAAACATCTAATTTGATTGGTCCCTGTCACATCCACGCCCCCAAAAGGTAAGTGTATGGGGAGTGTGGCATGACAGGGACCAATGGGATGCCTTTTCCAATTTAGGCACCCACTGTCCCTTTAAGAGCGCGCCCGATACCCGCGGCGCGCTCTTAGAGTTAGGTGGAACACGTGACCGCTTTCCAGTCACAGCCGTCGGATGAGCCGCGCGCGGCTCGTGCAGCAGCAGGACCTCGCGCGGCTCGAACAGAGGACCCCGGCCGGCACCTGGAAAGGGTAAGTACCGCTACAGGCACTAGTTAAAACGACTGTATACACCCTCAAGAAAACTCACGATTCCCATATACATATATTTCTATATTTCCCAAGTTCCAGAAGAAGGAAATTACATTTCTATTCCAAGCTCATTGCCTCCCAGGATGTCACAGAGTAACCCTCATACACCTAGGGCGTTATCTCAGTTGTCCTTAAGGCCAGAGACACAAGACGGAGTACAATTATTTATCAGTATAGTTATAACCTTCATGGTCTTGTGTCAGTACAGACACAACTGCATGCCACAGGACTCAGCCTATATTACTGGCAATTGTGTCCTGTATGTCTACCCTCAGGTCATTGGACTCAGCACATATATAGTATATTTAGTTATGGCATTTCAGCACCTCTATCATGTTCCCCGTGTAGACCCTACAACGATCATATGTTACGCTGAAAGTTACGATACGATATCAGTATGACCATATTTCAATTATAGCTACGCCATCATAAACATTAACTTTCAACTGATCTACAACTTAAATAAATCACCAACCCCTCCCCATTAAATTCCACTCAGACTTACGTTACCTCCCAATACCACCGGAACTACATTGGGCCTCTCTCAACCTCTTATACATAGTCCTCACACAAAGCCATCTAAGGGCCTTTGCAACATACTTCAGGTAACCTTAGTGGACAATTACGTCTTATTTGCAATCCCTCATTTGGGCACTAAGTTCACATATCATCTGGATAGGAATGTATGCGTAAAGTTCAGCTATCTCACAGCTTTCTATCTGTAATCAACCAAGTCTTATAATATTATACATCTGCTATATCTTGCACCATCCACATACGGCCACACAGTATCTCTCCTCACGACCCTACCTACATGGTCTACTCCTGGCCAAACGCACAGTATGTTATAATTCCCTCATAACAGATGTTCTCCTTACCGCTCTTATTTTACTACGTCAGTCTAGCATTTTGTCAATTTACGACACGTGCAATATGCCACATACATTATGACTCTTACCGAATTACCATGTGGGGCATTTAAGTTTCCCTGGGTCGACCTTACTAGTCAGCCGCCATCGTGCTTACATAGCTATTCCATACTGGACTATTCCCACGTCACCCCCGCATATTAGAAGAGTTCATATACATGATATGTATACTGTCCTTCCCGCTTCCCTGGCTATTTGACTGCTCGGGCAACCATGGTACGAGTTACCACATTAGCCAGGCACGTTCAATGCCTATTGTACTGCCTTACCCAGCATACAGGCTTTTAAGTAATTCTAACTTATAGGGCCAACCATCACCTTATCATACCACGGCCAACTTTTATTCACAACCACACTCTTTACACATTACATACGCCCTGCCACTATAGCATAATATCGGCTCCTCATGTGGGCTATTACATACGGCATAGGAATTACAATTTGACATAAGTTTTCACGTTGTCACAACCTACCACAGCATGCCTCTACACATGGCCCTCACTAGGCCGTCACATGCACGTTACATACAACCCACTGCGGGCAATCCACTACGACTCAATTCAGCCCCACAGGTGGGCAGTCATATACGACCAAGGTCACGTTAGACCACTCAAATCCTCCCTATACGGCCTTTCTCGGCATGTACAACTCCAGTCACAGACACTTACGCAATCTCCAATATTAGTTCCTGCTGGTAAACTAGAATGTCCCACATACTTCATACACATTTCAGGTTCTTCTAGCAGAAAAACGCCCAGCTCAATATAGTTAGGTGTCTCTTCCCTATACATATATATGTCTTTAACTAGGTTCACACACATATGTAGTCGATGCAACCTCAGGGGACAGTTGGCTATGAAGTAGGTGGCCAGACAAAGTTAGCCAGATCGAAGGGTTCCATAAGAACTCTGCACGCTTCAAAATATATCCCAACATGGGGTCATTCATGGCCAAGTAGACCAGTTCTCTGACAATTTGTCAATTGGCCACGTCATAAACCAGTCCGGTCTTGTATCCCTTATTATGAATTCATCAGACGACTAACGGAGGGGAAGCCTGTCACCAATGTTTTATCTGGTATGTTACCATGTACCAGGCATTTACAATACAGCTGCTGACCAGTTATCTAGTCTTCAGTTTCAGGCGTTCAGGAGGTCCCTAACAAACTGTCTCATCTATAGCCACGATCGCTCCCCAGCTCCAAGAATTACCTATGGAATCGTAGAGTGGCTAAGTCACAGCAGGAATTCCAGCTCCTGCAAGTAGTGGAAGCTGAGGTGAATGTCGTGAGCATGCAGGCTTTCCCATATGATGTCAGTGAGCAGGAAGCTTAGGTGGAGGAATTAAAATTATATTTACAGGAACATTTCCCTAGCACCATAAGAACTAATGTAGGCTTTAATGGTTATAGTGCTTCAAGTGTCCCTTTAAGTGTTTTTCATCTTTAACAATTACAGTAATGCTTTGCATCACACAATAAATAAAAAGCAAAAGAAGAATACTTGCAACTGGCTTAACTGAGACACTCCTGTGCCCTAACACACTTCACTTTTGCTACAGTGGCTTAGGAGTAAACTGAAGGCCCCCTTTGTCTTATACATAGACGTCCATAGGTACACTCTTACAGCTATCAATCAGACATCTGGGAGGGTTCCCTGTTTCATATGCTTTGAACACTAACTCAATGCGTAAGGCAATGCTTATTTATGAGAAGCATTAGATATGACTGGACATCATTAATCATGATGATCTCAGCTAGGGTGGATTGTGCTGCATCAATTAGACTGTCTTGGTGATGGAAAAGGGTGAGTTTATTTTATTAATAAATATATTTATTTGTAATGGTTTAGTAGTGTTTTTTTATGGAACAAATAAGTACCCTCCATAAAGTTTCCTTTAAGCCAAATCTAAAGAACGCAAGTTTTTAAAATCCAAAAACTTTTTTGCGGCGATCACAACACATTGCAAATTCCTTTGCTATGGCTTCGATGTCTAGTTCATCCATTATGTCTCTATGGATGTTGCATATAGCAACATGGTTCAAACGTTTCTGGGTCATTGTGGACCTCACCCAGGTTTTTAATCTACGCAGTGCACTAAAACTTCTCTCAGCTTCACAGGAAGAAGCAGGAATAGTTAATAGGATTCTGACAATATTTTCTACTTGAGAGAAAAAGCATCTTTCTCTGGCAGGCATCTTTCGCAAAATATCTACAACCTCAGAGACTGAAGTGTACTTGTAAACACTATATAAGGTGGTTATCTGGGCAGAGAGAAGATGATATTCAATCTCTGGATACTGGGGAAGAACTTCACTAGCTTGTCCTGTCAACAGATAATGTTCCAGTTTTTCATATACAAGTAAGCCCTCTTGGTCAAAGCGCTGCATTAACTGTGTCGATATAATATCCATTATTTGGAAATACTGAGGACAATAGTATTCCTTCACAGTCTTTGCATGAAATTGTTCAGTTGGCCCATGTTGAAGACATTTAGGAATATTAGGTTGCCTTGGTAAGGTAACCTCTTTTAGCTGGTATTTTTCCACTAAATTAATAGTGGTAGCAAGAACTCTTTCAAAGGACGTGTCACATCGTAACTTTTGTATAGCATCATGGGTCCGTTGTACACTTGCTAAAAGTCCTGATATGGTTTGTTCTCTGCCTTGCAAGGCTACATTCAGGCATTCTAAGATCTCCATGATGCTAAGAGAGATTTGAAGACCTAGCAGAGTTTTCCCTTGCCTAAATTGTTGTAGTAGGCCACATGCACGTGGATTTATATCTCCACTACTTCTGGTATTTGCAATTTCTTCAAGTGTTTCCAAAATCAGCTAGTAATTATCCAGAATTTTTTTTTTCCACAGGCTTCACTCTAACAGTCCAGCGTGTTGAGCACACTGGTTTAATATGCAAGACTTTAAGAGGCCCTTCAGCTTCACGATGCACAATTTCTGAAAATGTGGTTCTGCATTTCATAGATTGCCCAAAGAGTTTGCCAAGATCTTGCACACCCATAAGTGCATCTTCCATTATTGGACATTGATGTGCTGCAGCCTGCATAACTCAATTTGTGCAATGTGCACTGCAATGGACATAAATGGCAAGTGGATGTTCCTGCTTGATTAATGCCTGGGCACCATGATATTTACCAGCCATATTTGAAGCTCCATCATATGTTTGCCCTCGCAACATTGACATACAAAGCCCATTACGGCATAAAGCATCCTTGACAATCTGTGCGATTGCAGATCCACTTGTTTCATCAACTTGATATAAGCCTATGAAGTCCTCATGTGGGTACAAGTCTTCATCAACATAGCGGATACAGAAACTTTCTTGTTCTTGACCAGATATATCTTGTGTGCCATCAACAATAATTGCAAAGGCATTATTCCCAATCTGTTTCCGAATAAGGCGTAATACGGTGTGAGACAATAACTTCAAAATCTCATTTTGAATGTCGGAACTCATGTATTCTGCTTTGTGTGATATCCATTTTTTTTAGATAAGACACATCATCTGCTCGTGCAAGCAGAAACTGTTTAAAATTGTCATCATTGTCTTCATGGCCACGAAGAGGGAGACCTTGTTTTGCCAACAGGGCTATTGTTTGTACTATCTTGAGACACAGCCATGCATCATTCTGTTGCTGTTGAATTTGTAGTGAAAGCTGAGCATTAATGGGTTGCGAATCTTTATGATGCAATAGTTACTTCATAGAATATGTATGAGCAGAACAACTCTAATGTTTTTTAAACTTTTCAATAGCTTTTTTCCAATTTTTAAAGCCTACACACACAAATGCTGGCTCAGTGTTCTTTTCGAGTTGAGTCAGATTCAGGACAGCTGCTTTAGCACAGTCGAAACATAGTACCCCTTCAAGAGTAAAACTATAGTGCAGCCATGGAAAGCTTTGGAACCAGCACTCTTGAAAATGTAGAACACGCTTCTTTGCCTTTTGCGTTACAATGGTCTGAGCCGGAATTGTTTTGTAGTCTGGTTGATTTGGTACCACAGCCGTTCGTAATGTTTTCTCATCATCAGCTGGAAGAGAAATGCATTTTCTTTTCATGTATGTTTTAGATTTACTATGAATGAACATATTCTACAGTTTTGATTGCAGGACCACAAGCATGGTCTTCCTCACCATCACTACTTGAGTTACTCATGAGGCCAACTGCTTCTAAAGACACTGTCTCAGCATATTCCTTTTCTGGCTCAACAAAATGATGCCTGACTGGTGATTCAGTGATCTCTTTTTGTTGACATGCTTCTGAGCTTGATGAGGATGTATTTGCTTTACTCGGCATATTTGTAAAAAACTTGTGGATATCCATTCTGACTTTCTTCACTCAAACTGACTTTTAAGCATAAAGCTAAGGTTCTAGAAAAGACAAAATATAAAGAAGAATGATAATACTGAATAATAACAAAAGATTTAAGAATAACATTAACTTTTTAATTTCTCTACAATAATTTGTTTATTATTTCTGGCCCATTTCCTGACATAGCATCTTTAACCCCTTAAAGACTGAGCCAAATGAAACAAAATGTAAACAAAACCTGGCATTTGCGCTACATGTCTGTCCAACCGTAATTCACCTCTTTCATATTAAATGCACACACCCTAATTATATATCATTTTATTCAGGGGAAACAGGGCTTTCATTTAATAAATATTTAGCTATGAAACATAATTTAATATGAAAAAAATTGGAGAAAATAAGATTTTTTTTTTTATTTTTTTTAGTTCTACATTTTAACTGTCAATGTCATAATACTGTTTGCTTTTACTGCAATAAAATACACATATTTGTATTCAGCAAAGTCTCACGTGTAAAACAGTACCCCCTATGTACAGGTTTTATGGTGTTTTGGGAAGTTACAGGGTCAAATATAGCACGTTACATTTGAAATTGAAATTCGCCAGATTGGTTACATTGCCTTTCAGACTGTATAGTCAGGGGCGTTTTAGCCGCGAGGCAAACAAGGCATTTGCCTTGGGCGGCATTTTTCAGGGGGCGGCAAAAAACGCCGCCCCCCAAATGCCCAGGGCAAATGCTTTGTTAGCCTCGCGGCTAACTGACCGGATTGGCTGGCGGGCGGCGCTGGGCAGGCGGCTGGCGAGGGAGCTCTTCCTCTGAGCGGTCTGCTCAGCTCCCTCGCGCGCCGCAAAGTGAGGCTGGGAGCCGGAAAATGACGTCATCTTCCGGTTCCCAGCCTCACTCACCCCCTCAACCAGAACACAGCAGCCTGACCACCAGGGAGGTAATGAACCCCTTCCCCCCCAGCACTCCCATAGGTAAGGAGGGAGGGGGGAGTGAATTAAAAAAAAAAAAAAAGTGTTAATGTGAGTGAGTGAGTGTGTGTCTGTTAATGTGTGTGAGTGTGTGTCTGACTGTCAGTGAGTGTGTGTTTGCCTGTGAGTGTGTGAGTGTGTGTGTCAGTGAGTGTCTGTTAATGTGTGTGTCTGCTAGTGAGTGTCAGTGAGTGTGTGTGTGTCTGCAAGTGAGTGTGTGTGTGTCAGTTAATGTGTGTTTGTTAGTGTGTGTGAGTTTGTGTGTGTGTGTCTGCTAGTGAGTGTGTGTCTGTTAGTGTGTGTGTGTGTGTGTGTGTTTGTGTGTCAGTGAGTGTGTGTGTGTCTGTTAGTGTGTGTGTGTCAGTGAGTGTGTGTTAGTGTGTCTGTGTGTGTGTGTGTTTCTGTTAGCGAGTGTATGCGGATCTGTCGGTGAATGTGTGTGTGTGTGTGTGTGTGTGTATTTAGAAGGCGGGGCGGGGGGAAGGGTTGGGGGGGGACTGGCGCGGTGGGGAGGGGGGGGTGCCTGAGTTTTGTCCTGCCTAGGGCAGCACAAAACCAGGATACACCACTGTAGCCCAGGAATGGTATTTATTTCACAATGGTATAATATTTGTAATAGTAGATAAACCTGGTAAGTAAATGGTATGTCCAGTTTTTAGTAGTTGTTTTTCACCAAACACTGGCCAAAGTTAGCGTTAGTATTTGTTTGTGTGTGAAAAATGCAAAAAACGCCAATTTTGGCCAGTGTTTGTGACTAAGTGGCTACTAAAAAAGACTGGACATACCCAGTTTGCAATACCTTGGGTTGTCTACTATTGCAAATGGTATGCCATCATAGGGGTAATTTTCATTCTTGGGCTACCATAGGGTCTCAAAGGCACCGTAACCAATCTGGCAAATTTTAATGTGAAAAAAATGAAACACAAGCCTTATATTTAACGCTGTAACTTTTGAAAACACCATAAAACCTGTACATGAGAGGTACTGTTGTACTCGGGAGACTTCGCTGAACACAAATATTTGTGTTTCAAAAAAGCAAAAAGTATCACAGCAATAATATTGTCCGTGTAAGTGCTGTTTGTGCATGAAAAATGCAAAAAACTTCACTTTTACTGCCGATATCATCGTTGTAATACATTTTACTGTTTTGAAACACTAATATTTGTGTTCAGCGAAGTCTCCCGAGTAGAACAGTACCCCCCATGTACAGGTTTTATCGTGTCTTGGAAAGTTATAGGGTTAAATATAGTGCTAGCAAATTAAATTCCTTTTACTTTCGGCATGGGTTGTCAGGCAGGTCCCGCTAATTGTAATTAATTAAGATACCTGATTATGTAAAAATATTACATAAATATATATGTAGAATTAATATATGTATATATATATATATATATATATATATATGTATGTGAATCTATATGTGTATATATATATATAATTTTTTTAAATATTTTTATTTATATATAGGTATATATATAGTGATATATACGTATATATTTATGTATGTAGATATATATATTATTTTGTTCTACGTGTATTTTGATATAAATATATATATTAATATCAATACAGTTAGAACAAAATAACACACATCTATATATTTTTTAATTATTTTTTTATCATTATTTTTTTATTTAATTTTTTCACGTATTTACATATTTATTTTTTTATATTATATATAAATATATATATAACAATAATTATATATATATTTAATCAGTATCAGTCTACATGTAATTTGATATTAATATATATATATATATATATATATATAATTATATATATATATATATATATATATTAATAGTAAAATACACCTAGACAGTGTGTGTGTGTGTGTATGTATATGTGTATATATATATACTTAGATCATATATATATAATATATATATATGATCTAAGTATAATTTTTTTTTTTTTTTTACACTTAGTAATTTTATTTCTAGCCAGCTGTGGGACCACCTGTAATTACAGGCAGCCCCCCTGCTGGCAATACAGAAGCCAGCTATCCCGGCCATGTGATTGTGAGGTCCTCGCAAGAACCTCACTCTCACATGGCCGGGGGGCACCGGAGGAGGAGGATCTGCCGCGGGGGGGCTCCCTGGGAGCCCCCCCACCGCGATCGCTGGCGTGGGACCGCCGGCGACCGGGTAAGTAAACAAAAACCGGAGGGCATACAATTACGCCCGGCGGCGTTTAGAGCCACCTAAAATAGGGCGTAATTGTACGCCCTCCGGTCTTAAGGGGTTAAGCCAGTGCGTGTTCCAGAATTACTGCTAGTTGCCCCCCCCGGCAGCCGGCATACGTGACTTAGGCAGTCTGGAACTGTTCTGGGCTGCCTAATGTCAATTCTTGGCATAAAATACATCTGTCATCTTAGCACACAGCGCACTGGTAACAGATGTAATGGCATTCTCCATTGCAGGTAGTGCTCCAAGTGCTGCCTGAATAGGAAAGCCTAGCTTTCCCCTCCCTCCCACCTCACTTATGCAAATCCGTATCTCAAGCCAATAAATCAAACTATTAAAGCAATCCAGAGAGGGTAATCCGAAGAGCACTATCCAGCAGTAAAAATCAACCCACATAGCATTTGTAAATATCAACCCACATAGCATTAGTAAAAAACAACCAATCAAGCAATGCTATGCTGAAATGTTAGTTGATTTTTACTGATGCTCTGATAGCATCAGTAAAAATTAACCGGTATAGCAGCAGTAAAAATAAACTGGTATAGCATTAGGAAAAATAAACCGACATATGGCATCAGTAAAAATAAACCGGTATAGCAGCAGTAAAAATAAACCAACATATAGCATTAGTAAAAATAAACCCACATAGCATTAGTAAAAATCAACCGGTACGCGGCAGTAAAATCAGCGGACACAGCAATGCTGAACCTGAACACAAGGATAGACGATCACTTACTGTTAGTATTAACTATGCTTAGTGGCTGTTTTTTGATTAAAAAAAAAAAGTGTGGACATTAGCCCATATTGCTCAATTAAAATAATTTGCCATCGGTCATTCAGGATGAATATGACCCAGTAGTCTGGTTAAAACCACAAAGTATGGGTTAAACTGCATTGTGTTTCACAGTCACAGGGGAGAAAAATGCTGTATAATATAATTTTTTTTTTTATATTTCATGTCATTAATATGTATGGATTTTGAG